TCATAGAGCATAAGTTGATTTTGCTGGTCCAGTATGGCTACTTTATGACAAAGCATTTTGTATGAGGGTAGCCATTTTATCCCTCTCTCAGACGGGACATGACACATTCACAACATGATGCATGACACCCTCTAGACCAGGAGTCCCTGGACTTTTTGATCCAGGGGCTGGTTCACTGGATCCCCAGATCTTCCAGGGGACTGGAGGCATGCGTGCGTGCACATGCATGTGCATGACTCTGGGCATCATTTTGGAATACAAAATGGCATCCGGTGGCAGGCGCAAGCAGCTGCGGTGGAGGTGGCAGGCCGGCTGTGGGCCGGTAGGAAGGCCTTGATGGGCCTGGGCCAGCCTGTGGGCTGTAGTTTGGAGGCCCCTGCTCTAGACCAATCCAGGGAGAGCATTCCCACAGTGGACATTTTATTCAGAGGGCAGGAAGGCCCAGTTCCTTTCATCCCTAACAGAATGTGTGGCAGTCCAACAGGTTATTATGCTGGGAATTTGGAGCGTGGGACAATTGTGCCTGCAAACACTGTAAGTTTAGACACAAATGTTCAATATGTGGTGGAAACCACTCCTTTAAAAATTGTGTCAAGGTTAGGGGATCCCAAGCAAATCAAAAAGACCAGCAAGGGGGTGAGAAACCAATAAATCCACCTCCCTTTTCAAAAGGGACCTAGTCCTGTTAATTTGGATAGTTTATTGTGGTGGTTGAGTCCTTATCCAAATCTTCAAGCAGCAGTGTATTTGGGGCAAGGCTTTGTTGAAGGCTTCCATATTCCATTTTCTGCTGTTTGACGTTCTTTTATGGCAAAACATTTACATTCTATTGTTGGTTTAGAACATATTGTTAAGCATATGACTGCAAAGGAGGTAGCTGAGGGTAGAGTAGTAGGTCTATTTTGAGAACCTTGCTACCTAAAATGAGGATGTCTGTCCACTTTGGGGATAGTACCCAAAAAAACACCTGCGGAATATATGCGAAATGTGACATTAAGTTGGCATTTCACTTACTACCAGTCCATCCTGCTGGCTTTGAATTATTGGGCTTCTATTTTGAGGGAGGTTTTGATATGGATAGATCCCTGCCAATGGGCTGTTCAGTTTTGTGTGCACCATTATCTTTTATATCTCAAAGGTGAATCTGTAAATGATGCTATCCTACCTGACCTATGCATGGTACAATGTACCTCATTTGACCAGCAATCAAACAAATTGAACTGAACAGACCGGCATAAAGAGCCAGCTTGGGTGTGTAGTAGGGGCATGGTGACTGCACACTGGCCACTCTGATTCTGCCCTCATGCCGGCTTCATGCCGTGCACCCCACCACATGGTGGGAGGTGTCAGAGCCCTCTTGGCACAGTGTCCACACACACACACTGTGCCAAAGGAGCTCCAAAAAGCCATGGCGGCAGTGGCAAGGGTGGCCTTTTGCCACTCTAAAAAGGTTCAGCATTTACCAGCTCTTTTTAGAGCGGCAAAGCACTGGATCAAGACTGTGGCATGTGGTTGCCATGGCCCTAATCTAGCAGCATAGGGGCAGCTTGTCACCACCTCTTTTGGGCAGTCTGTACAGCACCTCTGAAATTTGGTTTAGGGACAGAATTAGCCAAATGTGACATTAAGTTAGCATTTCACTTCTACCAGTCCATCCTGCTGACTTTGAATTACTGGGCTTCTATTTTGAAGGAGGTTTTGATATGGATAGATCCCTGCCAATGGGCTGTTCAGTTTTGTGTGCACCATTCAAAACCTTTAGTAATTTTTTAGAGTAGGCCATTAAAACAAAATCAGGCCAACAAGGCATAGTCCATTATTTGGATGATTTTTTGTTTATGGGGCTTTATGGTTCTGGTCACTGTGCATCTTTATTGACAGAATTTGCTTCCTTAACAGAAGAGCTGGGTGTTCCTTTAACTCCAGAAAAAACTGAAGGGCCATCTCACCAACTAACATTTTTAGGTATTGAGATTGATACAATCAATCAACTTTGTAGGCTACTGGAGGACAAGGCTCAGGCTGTTTCAATTTCATTTTCTTACCAAAGCCACACTCAGGAAATTAATGGAATTCATCTTAGTGAAACTGGTAATGATATTTTCCTTACTGATCTGCAGAAGGGGATTCAGCCTTGATTAGCCAGCCTGTTGGGGCTAGGGGCTAAGCGGATGCTTGCCACATATCCATGGCAGTTGATGGGGGTAATTAACTGTCTGGTGAACACCTTGTCACCCTCTTTGGGTGAAAATTAGGCCTCTTAAACTTTCTCTCTAGGTCATGTGAATAGGGAGATGGTGAAAGAAACCTTCCTTAGGGCTAGGCTGGGATATAATCCTCACTCAAGTCATGTGAGTTGAGGGAGGAAGTCTTTCCAGAACTTCCTTGGCTTTCCAGATGTGAGTTGGCCATGGGAGTTCAAGTGTTTTTTCCCAGAGGAAAATGAGGAGGAGGCTGAGGAATAGACCACCTGCCTCAGCTGCTCCTGTACCAGATTAATCCCTTCAAATTTTGCAGATTTAAAAACAACAACAAACAAACAAAAAGCAAACAGTTAAATAGTTTAATTCAAATAAAACTGGTCCATTTTTACAACCCATGTTATGTGTCTGGTCTCATTATTTTAAGTTGATCAGCAATGCAATTTACAGTTGCATGAATTAGGAGAGCAGTTTCAGAAGAAGGCAGCAAAGAGGTTTCTGGGAAACAGGACAAGATTCACAGTATGGTTCAAAGATACTAGTAAGCATCCTGGTTAACATCCTGTTAGTGACATACACAGGGATTGCATTGTGCTACACATACAAAGTGATTTTTTGGGATGATGAGGTAGCTTTATAAGGGGCCAGACTAGAGAATCTTAACATGTTTTTTAAATTTTCCCCCTTCAATGTATATTCTGAAACTTTGTACTGACAGATGCTGACGCAGCAACACTAAGTAACTAATTACACTGTTCTTGTCAATTTGTCCTGAAAACATCTCCTCAGTGGACAATGTTCTGTAAACATTTCCTAGAGGACTAAAGGGTCCAGGGACTGGTTATCTTGTCCTAAAACTAGTTGCCTAAAATGTAAACAAAATTGCAAAAAAGGGAAATGTTGAGCATACATCAGAAAACTATAGAGGGTGGGGAAGAGGAGTTTTTCTGTATGTCACAAAGCCAATTAACTGTCTATAAAAGTGTTCAAGATCTGTCAATCGGGGCTCTTGGTTCTTTAAAACTTGATTCCACTAAGAGCCTGCGCGTTACTTGGAAATAAAAGCTCACTTTCTGAACTTCTCTGTGGGTCTTTTGTCGGAGTTTCTGCAACAACAATGATGAACAATGGTTGTATCCAGTGGACAGCAGTATAAGCAAAGTAGCACACACGGGACTGTTGCACATGCAATAGCGCATTAAAGTACATAGAATAGTCATGATTGTACATTGTCTATTGCCTTTGCACATTGTATATTGCAATTACACAGTGGATTGTCAGCCATATAGATTGACCGCTGATCTGCATACATTATGCGATGTTGGTGTTAATTATAAGGGTTGTGTAACATAACTCTGGCAACAGATATTTATGCTGCATTGAGGAAATGTAAGATCACAGCCTCAGTCTTCCATGCTTCTCATTTCCAGTTTCTCTGCACCTTTATGCAGGGTAACTAACCCATAAACCTCATTTTCTACTGTAAGTGGGGAAGTTGATTATTATCCATTCTGTGAATGGAAATTTTTTGTTTGTTTGTGTTCAGTCCAAACTATTGTAAAGTTTTATATTCTTGTAACTTTTTGTAAATGATAAATAAGGAAATATTGCTATGCATATACATTTATTTATTTTATTTTTATTTAGAGTATTTAGATGCTCCTCTTCAGTCACAGAGTCTCTCAGAGCAGTTAACAGATTATTTTGAAAGTTCCCTGCCCTCAGTCTTACAATGTAAAGACATGACACAAAAGGAGAAGGGAATGGCAGTGGGGAAGAGGATCAACTCCATCAAATACTGTCAATTCTTCTCTCTCTCCAAGACCAGGGTGGTAGCAGCCAAGATGGAGGGAGGGCCTTTAATCCTCCTCTAAGCCATTTCTGTTTTGGGAAATTTTTGATTTTATCATAGTGGATCCATGGTGCAATCCATAGAATGATTGTTGGGATATAAGACATGAATCCCTCCCTCCCTCTCCCCTTCTCTCTTTTTAAATTAAGCAGGACTTTTTATGCAAAAACACCAGCACATGAGACTTGAGCATTCTTATCCTTGCTATATCAATGTCAAGGTAATCTTTGGAGAAAGAGAATGTGGCAAGGGAAATGTACTTGTTTACAGAAGCTTCCCAGGCTTGCAAAATAGATACTTCTTCTGCTACTTTGTTTTATTGTTGTATTTTTAAAACTGCACTGTATATGTAGATTGCTCTATAAAATTGTATTCTATGCATAGTTTAGCCGTGGTTTTATAGGATTGTATGTAAAAACTGGAGATTGTATTATATGAAGATGTATATAAGTATAATAGAAAAATAAATAAAAATAAGATGGCTGCTGCTACTATTCATCCAACTGAATTTAATTATATAACTGTGTACATTTACAATGAAATTGTATATATGATTACTCAAAAATAAGTATCATTGTGCCTGATGGGCTTATTCCATACAAGACTGGTACAGAAACTGTGGCCTGTAAGTCATGTGTGCCCCCCTGGGCTATTTTTGTCCCCAACCCCCCCAAAGATTACCCCAAAACCTCCAACCCCCCACTGCATTTTTTAAAATGAGTGTTTTTATACACAATTCTAACTCAGACTAGATGAAAATTGCCAGAAACCATGGCAGAAGGCTTAGATTCTGCTTACACTCCAACTCTCCCAATTTAGCAAGGAAAGGCCTGGTTAATCCTCTGTCATCCCATTTTCTAGATGCTTTTCAAATGTCTCAGTTTCTCTTTCTTCCTCCCACTTCCCTCTTTGTCCTCTGCTGTGTGACTTGCCCAAGTGGGTTTACATGGCTGAGTTGAGATTTGAACCCTGGTCTCCAGAGTCATAGTCCAACACTCAAACCACTACACCACACAGGCTCAAGTCAGTGCTAGACCAACCAAAGTTGTGTTGAAATTACTTATGGAAATCTCATTTTTGTTGGCATTGTGTCAGTATCCCTGTGCTTAAGGAGGTTTGGATCTGACATACTTAACACTTTCTCTGTCTTCTCTTCTATAGGGGGAATCTTGTGGCTCATTTCCTCTATGATTTAAACTGATTTGCTGATTGGTTTATATGTGCCTTGTTCACACTGGAAGCGGTTTCAGACCTGACTGCATTCAGTCTCAATTGTGCTGAAGCGAGGCAGATGCTAAAAAATTGCTCTTTTCAAAGACGGGTCTTTTGGTGGTTCTTTTGAAAAGATTCGCTTTGCAAGCATATCCAACTGAAGTGTGAATGATGTTTGGATCTCAATCACATTGCACTGGAGGCATGGGACTATGGGTACAGGATTGGCAGAGGGGTGAAACCCATCCTGCCCCTATTTTTTGAGAAATCAGCCATTTTCCCCTCTCAGCACTGCCTTTGTGCTGTCTTTTTACTACTGTGGGGAGAAAGGTGAGGCGGGCTGGAGGGTTCCTGAGCCAACCCATAGTGCCAGCCTCAGCCTCTTTCTCTGGCAGGAAGCCCAACTCCCTCCCAGGCACGTTCTCCTCCTTTCCCAGGACAGGTCCTACATTTCATCCTCCCATCCAGGAGGAATCCCAAAAGGTTCTTCATTTGGAGCAGGGCTAAGAAGCATGACATTTACATTTTCAGTGGATTCTTTCTACACTCTGGATCCACTTAAACTCACTTAGGGCCTAAGCAGATGGCGCAAAGCACCGTCTTCAAGGCCAGGAAGGAGAGGGGCAGCCACACGCTGGGCACTCCAACCCCTTCCTGAAAATGTCGTCAGAGTGGCTGGCCCTCCACAAAGCCAGCGCTCTGACGACGCACTTCCGTTGCAGCGGAAGAGGTGCTGAAGGTGTGCTGGAGGCCTTTTGCGGTGCACCTTCGGCATCTTGTGGAAGGAGCGCTATTTTAGCATTCCTTCCTGGGCCTGGGACACTACACCGTGGGGCTGAGGAGTGCGGATACCTTGGCCGCGATCCACAGCTTCCCGGGGTGGCCCCGTGCTGCCCGTCTGCTTACCCCCTTGCTTAGAAACAAGTTCCTTTGGGCAGAAATAAAATTAACACCATGAAGAAGCACTTGGCCAGGGTCACCCCACCTGGCACCTGCAACAGCCCTGTCCTCACCCTCACCAAAGTGGAAGGTAACCCCCACGTGGAGAAGGGGTGAGGAGGGGTGGGGAATTCCTGGGCCAAGCCATAGTGCCAGCCTCAGCCTCTTTCTTTGGCAGGAAGCCCTACGCTCTCCCAGGCAATGTTTTCAAGGATGCATCTTAGGTTGCATCTAGAGTGCAGAAAGAATCTGGTTTGACACTGCTTTAACTGCCTTGGGTCAATGCTATGGAGTTCTGGAAATTGTAGTTTGTTGTAGCCTAAACAAACTTAGACAAAGAAGCCTATAATTAAAATTGATTTGGCAAGGACCCAAAAAGCCTTGATTTGGCCAAGATGCTGGCTCAATTAAATTCCTCCATTTGGAGCAGGACTAAGAAGCATGGCATTTACAATTCTAGGAGTGTCTTTAGTTCTTATGAGGTCATGTCATCCTACATATTTTCTTGAATGTGTCATTAGTATGGTGTGTGGTTGTCTCACTGATGATGCGTAGATGTGCATCATATGATTGACATTTAAAAAAACAAACAAACCTGGGATGGATCGATTGCGATGGATAATGAGCATGTATTTTGAAGCGACACAAAGCTAGTGGGAATGACAATCATGTGAAAAAAGACACAAATCCATGCAATAAAGAAATAATTTGCTTCTATAGTGGGAACTATGCATTGACCTGAATTGATTCCACGACCTGGAGTCAATGTGACTTGCAAACTGGTTTAAATGCAAGTGGGAATGAGCCCTTAGTATAGCAGCTATACCAGCAGATTGCTCTGTCAGAAGGTCCATCATAACAGCTGGCAGAAGAGCGTTCTGGCAGAAGAACATTTCTGTCAGCAGAAGATGCTGCTGCACAGTCCCAGCCCCTTTGAGGTAGTGTAACTTTGAGTTAGGACTGCATCACCCAAGATGAAGTGAATTAAAATAAAATATTTTTAACTGTTAATTCAATATAATTACAGAGAGATCTATTTGATTTTTTGATAATGAAGATACTGAGATAACCAGAAATTAATGGGCTGGTGGAAATGGAAGATGCAAAATTTATTTTTAAAACCTGATCAATAATTATTAAATGGATATAGAGACTTGTAAGTGTACACAGAATTATATTTTTAAGATGTTGATACAGGCTGTGGTATATTGAGAGTATCAGTGTTAGTGGACTGAAAATAGCCTATACATGAAAAAAAAAAAAAAAACACAGGGCTCTGATTCTATGAAGATGTTTTTACTATCTATTTTATAACCTTTAGATAGGCTGGGGCACTGAAGAAGGCATAGATATTGTTAGTTAATCTTAGCAAATTAAATCCATCTGAGTAAAACCAAAAAAAAGAAAAAAAATAGAAAAAGATTTTATCCTTGGATTGAGTCTTTTTGCTCAGCAATAATGACAAGCATTTAAAGTAAATTGTCCATTAAAGCACTATCCCAGCTTTTGACAAATTGCATCAAACCATTTTATTCCTTGGGGGAACACAAACTTGACTACAATTGTGTTTTTCTTTCTGACATACAGGCTGACAGAACCTGAGGTTGAAAATGCTTTTAGATAAAATGTAAGGAAAGTCCACAGAGGTCAAGTTGAGTTGAAGTCATGACATGGAAAGCAAGTTGCTTACTTTCTCAGATGACAAGACAGTCAAATTGTTCTCTCACCCATATAATCCATTGTTTTAGAAACAACCCACATTTTTAAATGCCATAAAAGCTGCTAAAAGCTGGTCAAATATATTGGCAATTCATTGCAAATTTGTATTCCTTCAGAAAAGTGATAAATTGTATATGCGTATGATGCTTTTGGTGCTCTCCCCCCTCCCTTTAAAAGGCAGTATTGTAGGGCAGAGCAGCTATGAGCAGATGGAACCCACTGGATTGTAAATCCTCTACATTTACCATACTATATTTCACATCCTGGCCAAACATTATGGCTACAGTCACATGGCATGGGAAGTTAAGGAATCTGGGGAAGTGCATGGCTTTGACCCAGTGGGTAGGTGAACCTATTCATGATTTTATTTCAGACTTTAATGGTAATGAATCAATTTGGAAAACACATTTTTCAAATTCAGACTAACTTGGAACAGATTTACAATGCCTCCACTGACATTGGAACCAACCACTTCCCCACAAGGCACTCACAGTTGCTGTGCATTATCAGCTATGAACATTGTGGCAGTATATACTTTCTGATTGCACCACTATTTTTGTTTTGTCTGTTTTGCATAGAATAAGTCATGAACTGCAAAGATTACCATCAGCCCAGGATTCTTCTTGTCAGGGTTTCTTTACATTAAAAACAAAAAACAAACAAAAAAAAAAACCCTCACATGTTCTTTAACCATTTAAAAAATATTTCAAATATTCTTTCTGTCCTTATTAAGGGAATATTTTTGATTCACTATTGTCACAAGAAAATAAGGAAAGAGAGGAGAAAATATTGGAGGGGAAATCCAGTTTTGTCCTTGCTTTCCTGAGACTGGTATGTATAAAGCAAGCAAGTTAAATTCACAGAGCCTTTTCTCATACCTGATTGGTTAACACAGAATCAATGTTATTGGAAATTTATTGTCTGAGAATTGTGACTGAAAGTGAGGGATTGAACACAAAATAATCTAAACACCCTTTAATGCACTATATGTTTCCTGAATCAGTAATTCACTTGCTGGAGAGGGAACAGATTTGCAATAGGAATATGGAAAGCTTTCAGTCTGAAATTAACTCCCTCCACTTCCATCATCCTCCCATCCTTGTTTTAAACTAAATACAGTGGTACCTCTACTTACAAATGCTTCTTCTAATGAAAAATTCGACTTACGAAATGCGCCTCCGGAAAAAATTTGCTTTGACTTACGAAAGCATTCCAACTTACGAAATTGGCACGAACGAGCTGCTCTTTGAATTTCGTGGCATACCATTGGTTAGCGAAATCTAGCAAAGCAGCAC